GTGTGTGTGATACGCTCATGTCAAAACTTCGTGTTCGCGATTCGATGCAAAGCCACGGACCGTGTCAAGGCCTATGTGGTATCCCAAAAGCGTATAGTAGTACCACCGCACTCGAAGATTCGCGTCCCTGTCAAGGTCAAGACACCTGAGGCCCTCCCCGAGCGTGACTACGTCTTTAGTCCCATAGACGCTGCGTCTACTGGCAATGCCGTGCTGTACGCACATCTGGTGGATCACGAATTCTCCTTCGTCGAAGCATCCAATGAGACATCTGAACCTGTTATCCTAGCTCGTCATGCTCGCTTAGGCACCTTGTCCGACAGTGAATTCGTCACCGCGTATCGTGTCAGTCATGACTATGCTGAATACGCCCGTGTCTATCAAGATGATGTCAAGACACCGAGCTGCAACACAGTCGCCGACTCAATCGACCACGACTACCGTCGCTGCGTCTCTAGGGATCTGGCCGACGCATACGCTATGGCTGTCGAGACTACTAGAGATGGAAAGTCGACAGACGAATATGCCGAAATACCGAAAGACACCCTTCGACCCAAGACTGCCCGAGAGATGGCCGGCGACCAGCATCCCACTCTTGAACACGTCTATCGATCTAGCATTTTCGCTACCCCCAACACTGACAACGTCACCGTCTTGCCGAACGGGGTGACCATATATAACTGCGGCGAGAATGCCGTTGAGCGACTGACCAAAGTCGTCAATAGCTACGATATTTGGGCACTGCCTGACGGGAGCAATGTCGGATTAGTCGATATGCCCGAAGAACAGTGGATGCAGGTGCCTCTACGTGACGGATGGGAAGATCGGATTCCCAAAGCCCGTGTCTACCGCGTGAGCCCTCGAGACAGAAAGGTGATTGATGATATGTTTGAACCTCTACAAAAGCAAGGCAAGCTAGAATTCACCAAATCCCACACACCGTCCGGCTACCCTGTCTTCGTCGTTTGGAAAGACGTTTGGACCGAAGACGGCAAGCATGAGCGTAAGGGTCGTGTGGTGATCGACCTCAGAGGCGCCAATGCCGAAGCTGTTCGAGATGTCTATCCCATTCCCCGTCAAGAAGACATGTGCGAGCTTGTTCGTTGCTGTCGATACATCACCGTCGTCGACGCCACCAAGATGTTTTATCAGTGGCCTGTACGACGTGATCATCGAAACCGTCTTGCCGTCCTAAGTCATCGAGGTCAAGAAATCTTCAATGTTGCTATTATGGGGTATCTCAATAGTGTCGCACATGTTCAGCGCAATATGGATTTGCTTCTGAATGACTTGCCATATGCTAAGACATATGTGGATGATTCGATTACCGGTTCCAAGACCTTCAATGGCATTGTCGACAACGGAGAATGGGAGAAAGACAAAGTCGATCCCAATGGTCATCTGTATCACCTGCATGAGGTTTTCGGACGTATGGAATCGATCAACCTGAAAATCGAGCCAAGGAAGGCGTTCATTGCATTCCCTTCGGCAAAAGTGCTTGGCCTACGAGTCGACGCCCTCGGTCTTGTTACACCCGAGTCAAAGCTCACCGCACTGCGTGCTCTCTCGTTTCCTCGTACCCTCGCCGAGCTGGAACACTACCTGGGTCTCGCTGGCTGCTTTCGACATCGGATATGTCGATATGCACAAAAAGCCGCGCCACTCCAACAGCGAAAAACGTCCTTGCTGAAAGGCGGTCCCACCAAGGGGCGTCCTAGGAAGGACTACTCAGCGCGTATGCCGGTCGAGCCTACTAAGGAAGAACTTGACGCGTTTGAAGCACTCCAACACGACCTCACCAATCCTTGCATACTCTCTCATTTCAACCCTGACGATCAGTTATATATCGACCTCGACGCGTCGAAAAGAGGCTATGGCGTCATGGCATACCACGCCCCTGAGCACCTAATCGCCCCCGGCGAGAAACCGACTCCGCCTCCTCGCACCAAGGTACAGCCGGTCCTATTCATGAGTCGCCTTCTACGCCCCGCAGAGACTCGCTACTGGCCTACCGAGATGGAAGTCGCCTGTCTTGTGTGGACGGTCCACAAGCTGCGTCATATGATTGAGTCTGCGTCCAAGCCACCCATCGTCTTTACCGACCATGCGTCTACTGTCGGCATCTGTACTCACAACACCGCGTCTCTGCATACCACCGTCGCTGTCGAGAAGTTGAATCTACGTCTTGTTCGTGCCTCACAATACGTGCAGCAGTTTGCTCTCCGTATCTGCCACAGGCCGGGTGTCACGAATACCGTGGCAGACGCTCTGTCTCGTCTTCCCCGGAAGGGAGGTGACCCCCTGCCTCATGACGTCGACCTGGATAACTACGCAGAAGACGCGTTCGTCCTCAACATCGAAGATGGGATTTCTATCGACGAAGACACTGAGACATTCAGCCCGAATGAAGCGTTTACGGCGCACATGTCCGAACATTCATTCGCCACGTCCTTGCACATGTCTGACGAGTTCAAGGACCAAGTAAGACAAGGATACGCATCGGATCCTCGCGCATCTGAGATCCTGAACGTCCTCCGCAGCAATACCGAAGCAGTCAATCCCGCTGTTCTCCCTTACATCGAATATGATGGTCTCCTATACATGCTCAAATGCGGCGTGCATCGAGACAACAAAGACGAAGACACTGTGTTAAGCGAGGAGCCATGGCTATACCTGCCACGCAGTCTCGCCCAAGACGTCTTCCGTATGGTGCATGACGATAGATGTCACCAAGGTCTGGAGAAGTGTCTTGATGCCTTGGAAGGATTGACATTCTACCGTTGTCGACGTCTTCTGCGTGACTATATACTTCATTGCCCTGATTGTCGTCTACATCGAGTTCCCAAACACAAGCCGTATGGCGATTTGCAGCCTATCGTCTCGCCCTCTATACCATTTCACACTGTTACTCTTGATTTCATCACCGATCTTCCTGTGTGTGATGGATTCGATCAGTTGCTTGTCCTGGTGGACAAATTCACTAAAAGACTGGGGTGTATCCCAGGCAAGGCCGGCTGGAAGACGCTTGAATGGGGAAGAGCGATTCTCGCATACCTGCAAGCCCACGATTGGGGTGTACCTCGCGTGTGGATTTCTGACCGAGACCGACGCTTTGTCGCTGAGGTGTCTCGCGGTCTGTTCGAGAGGTTGAAGTGTCAATGGCTATTCAGCACTGCACACCATCCCCAGACGGACGGTAGTTCGGAGCGTACGATCCAGTCCCTGGAGGTCATGCTACGGCATACCACCACCAAGGGGCTGTCCTGGATTTCGCAGTTGCCGAACCTCATCGCGTCCTTTAATGGATCCGTCCATTCCTCAACAGGCCGTACGCCACATGAAGTCATGTATGGCATGAAGCTCAATCAGCCGCTCGGTTTGCTGAAATCGCTTACACCGACACGAACATACCAAGACTTTGTGTCTGCACGTCTTGATGCCGAAGATGCCATCAAATACGCCGCGGTCCATATGAAGCGTGAGTATGACGCCAGACACAAACCTATGCAGTTCGATGTGGGCGATAAGGTGTATTTGAGGTTGCACAAGGGATATAGTGTGCCTGCGTCGAAAGCTAAGGACGTCCCACGCAAGCTGGGATATCAGTTCTCCGGCCCTTTCGACGTTGTCGAACGCGTCGGACGCCACGCTTACCGTCTCAAGCTGCCCGATACATTCAAAATACACCCTGTTGTCTCCGTTTCGCAGCTAGAGCCTGCCCCTCGTGATATCGATCCGTTTGGCCGCCAGCCACCCGAACCACCCGCGGTCGACGAAGCCGAAGATCAGTGGGAAGTGGAACGCATTCTCAATAAACGCGTACGTCGACATGGACGTGGTCCTATGCACGCCGAATACTTGATCCGTTGGCTCGGCTACGGTCCAGAGTATGATCAGTGGATATGTGAATACAATCTCAACTCACCCGACCTTGTCCGTGTCTTCGAAGAGGGTGTTGACTAACCTTTTGTCTTTTCATGGTTTTCGATATATCTGTATCGTCTTTATGTATTCCCGTCTATATGTATATAGTATCGAGGACGATATGTCTTTCTTTGGCGAGGGCAACTGTGGCCGCCGCCTCCGCGGCTTGCTGTAGAAGCAGGCCTCTGTGCCTTCCTGGCGTATTGAGGTCTCCGTCCCTTCCTATATCGCCCGGATCGATGCTGTGGGATATAACCCTCCGGCCTCCCAGGCCCTCGATAGAATGAAAAACTTCCTCATGATCACTTCTCGCATACAGCGATTAATCACAAGTATAGACCTCAGTAACATATATCACATTCTGGATATGCTACCATATATCACAAATAACAAAGAGAAGTCTTTTATAATTGAGTTGATTATTAATGATATCTAGAATAAACGGGGGGGGACAGAACCATGAGATACCCGCCAAAGACGGAACCATCTGGCAAAACAACGGCCACCATGCCGGGAGGTTATCGCCTTAGGCGATTCACTACACTACAGCATTAGATTAGTTCAGTAATACTGATTTGACTGGCCCTCACATCTATAGAACAAGCTCTATACTTCAAATTCAAGACCAAAACTACACCTAGTTAGGAACTATATAAAAATATATATATACAACAAGCTCTATGCTCTAAATTCAAGACACCGAGCGAAGTGAGGGTAGCCAGGCTTGTATTAGTTATTAGTAAACTAGTAAGGTTTAGGAACGATTAAATATGGTGTGGTGGTGTAATTTCAAGAATTAGGTTCCTCACAAGGTTGTTGTTTTTTTCCAGGTTCTGCTGTTAATTGCAATCTTCTAGCATCTTATGGTTCCTGACACCTTGTTAGTTCTCATATTGATCAACTTCTTTACAATCCATGATAATTTCTCTAGTTTGATTGCTTAATTTTCAAATCTGGATTTGATTTAGTTGATGAATTTCTACTCAGTTATAGTCCCTTACTCTACTGGGCTTAATCTACTTAGGCTTATTCCTTAGCTTAATTCAGAATTCCTTATTGGTCCCATCAACTTGCGTTATTTAATTCACATTAATCAAACCACCTATGGCACAGTGTGTATAGTACTATTTACACATGCAAACATATTTGAAACAGTAGCCATGAATCTACACTACTAGTTTAAAGATGCCAGCAAAGCATCACACGCACAACTTGGACTTCCAGCAATGTTTCCCGCCACTTTAAAGCCTCAACACAAATGAGATTTAACCAGACTATTCTTCTGAAAGCCGAGCCAGTACATTTGCAAATCGCACGTGATGACCACACAGTGTACTTGTACACCTTTGAAGCATGGCCAGCTTGCAAATATACACACGAAATTATCCCCAGTGTACTGTGGCTCTTGTCACTCCAGACCACACATTGATATTCCAATCTGAGACCCGCGACAAACAGCATTCTGACAGTGAGACTACACCACATTGCCTCGTTGAGCTTGTCCCCACATCTACCATTGAGCTTGAGGAATACCAGCTCTGGGGTCACGGCTATGGTACACTGGGCCTTATTCACTTGGCTGAAGCTGTTTTCGTGAGCGTCATCACTGGCTCGCACAAAGCCGCCACAGTGCGGCCCGGAGAATCTGTTTTCAGAATAGACACAGTGGATTTTTGTGAGGATCAAATACTTCATTTCAGTGGGAATTCGCTGACCTGACCCAGTCTGCTTGAGCCAATCAAAATACGAAGATGGACTATATCGTGATGTGGACCTACCTATCCCATCGGGGTCAGCTCTGGTTGAAACCTACTATGAGTCCAGGGACACGGCTATCGATGCCCCTTTCCTATCTCTCAAGAAACTACTTAGCGATGGGAGCTTCTACTACAGTGTTGACTTCAACCTCACGGATCGATTACAGGATCGGTAAGGCAAGTTATATCTCATTTGCACGCTGGGCTTACGATAGACTAGATCCGATAAATTGACGACATTTGATGTCGAGTCCTTTGACGAGGATATGCTTTGGAATGCATATCTAATAAACCCACTTCTGGTCTTCAGAAAACATCTAGCTCCTTCCGAGAAGAAGCATCTTGATTCCTCCCGCATCTTGACGTGTGTGATACGGGGTTTCTGTAGCACATTAACAATACCATCTTCCGCCCAAATCACATCTCGGGCACACGCGCGCCTTCCTTCCTTGTTGACAATAATTTCACGCCAGTCTTCTCGACGTGCCGGAACACGATTCAACTCCCGCGGTATAGACGATGATGGTCACGTCGCCAATTTTGTTGAGACCGAGACAATACTTTGGGTTGCACCTCATATTACCTTCTCCTACGTTCAACTCCGGGGATCTGTACCAGCTTTTTGGGAGCAGGCTAGTGGGTTTCTCCCAGGCCAGCAGAAGATAGAATTAACCAGATCTGTGGAGGCGAGCCAACATGCATTCCATAAACATTTCAAGCACCTCGAATTGAAGTATGGCGCGATTCATGTGATTAATCTCCTCAGCGATCTCAGACCAGGAGAAGTCGAACTCTCGAAAAGATTTCGCGAACTCATCAGACGTGAATCCATCAGCCAAGAAGCATTCGGAACTCCTACAGACCATAGTCTTCTACAGCTAACGGAATTCGATCTCCATGCCGAAACCCGGGGACCAACAGGATATGGTGCTAGCAACCAGATCAGACCCGAGATCTTTAACTCTCTGCAAGGCTTTGCCTATTTTCAGGCAGGCGAACCCAATTTAATTGTGGAGGACAGGCAGAGCTCGATGGGAAGCACCGTCATTCTACAGCAGGAAGGGGCCTTCCGAACGAACTGCCTTGATTGCCTCGATAGGACGAACCTTGTACAAACATTAATAAGCTCCATGGCCCTTGACGCGTTTTTTCATCAACAGGGCAGTATATTAGGCGAAGATGTCAAATTGCGGCACTCGACCTTGTGGGCCGACAATGGTGATGCTTTGTCTAAAATCTACGCTGGAACTGGGGCCCTAAAAAGCTCGTTCACGCGACATGGCAAGATGTCCATCGCAGGTGCACTCGCAGATGCTCGCAAAAGTGCGGCGCGCATATATGTCAATAACTTCTCTGACAAGGCTCGCCAGCAAACAATAGATATTCTCCTGGGACGACTAACAGGCCAAACCCCTGTACACTTGTTTGATCCAGTCAATGATCGAGTCGCGGAGGAACTGGACCGACTGTCATCTGAATTTTTGTCTACCAAGGCTATTAAAATCTGGAGTGGAACATTCAATCTCAACGGCCGTCACCCGGGGCCTAAAATTGATCTGCGACCGTGGCTGTTGTCATGTTTTGACCATGAGGGCGATGACACTCAGATTGTCGCGATAGGTTTTCAGGAGATTGTCACGTTAAGCCCACAGCAGATAATGTCCACAGACCCTACAACCCGCAAGGTCTGGGAACAAACCGTGCAAAGCTGCCTCAATTCCGAAGCAAGCTCCAGAAAAACCCCCAAGTATGTTCTCTTGCGGAGTGGCCAACTCGTCGGGGCTGCTCTTATGGTGTTCGTAAGAGAGGATAGTCTCAAGTTCATTAAGAATGTCGAAGGTAGTGTCAAAAAGGTAGGGCTCATAAAATCTGTGAATACGGTTCAGTGTCAGCTAATTTGCTACTTTAGACAGGCCTCTCAGGAATGGCTGGCAATAAAGGCGGTTGTGCCATTCGCTTTGACTACTCAAATACACGAATTTGTTTCGTAACTGCCCATCTTGCTGCTGGCTTTGCTAATTATGATGAGAGGAACAAAGATCATGACACTATTCTCCGGGGACTTCGCTTCTTGAAAAATAGAACCATTGAAGATCACGACACCATCGTATGGCTCGGGGACTTCAACTACCGCATTGGACTTAGCAATCAACTTGTGAGAGAATTAGCTCTTCAAGGAGATTACCAGAAATTGTATGACAATGATCAGGTAATGACCGGGTAGATCTTCATAACCGGTCTTGGGGTCGCTGACAGCTGTTTTAGTTAAATTTACAGATGCTGGCTGGTAGAGCCTTTCACTTTTACACTGAAGGGCCCATCACTTTTCCACCAACATACAAATATGATATTGGGACAGATCTTTATGATACCTCGTTCGTGTGGCAAGCTTCCATTATTTTCGGATAGGTATGAGACTGACATTTACAAAGGGAAAAAGCACGCATACCCGCCTGGTGTGACAGAGTGCTGTGGAAAGGGTCGAACTTGCGCCAGATTCAGTATGATACTGCGAACCTGCAGTTCTCCGATCATAGGCCTGTCTGGGCCATGTTCACATGCATCATCAGTGTTGTCAATGACGACCAACTAGTTAAGCTCCGGCACAAGCTTTACAGCAAATACAAGCACACTACTCGCGTTATGGTCGCCAGTGAGAAAATGAGAACAAAAAACCACAATAGAACACTATATCCCCCAGAGAAGGCACCAGGCACGCAGTACTCAGCCACTAGCACTGCGTTTGATAAATGGTGGTTAAGTCATGGTCAGTTGCAATATTACCCTTGGTTTTGTGCATGCTCATAATGTGAGCGTAAGTAGTGTCTCGCTCATTTTCCTGATGCTATGAACTAGGTAATCCTGTGCGTTCACAAGTGACACCTCCCGCCACCAACCATATCTGGAATATCCATCGTAGCTCGAATCCATTTTCTGAGGACGATATTGATTGGATCCAACTATCGCCCTGTGATACAGTCAAGAGTGAAGAGAAAAAGCCCGCTCTGCCACCGAGGGTGAATACCCCTGTGAATCAAGGTTATACAGCGTTCCATAATTTGAGGCATAATCACTTCGATCCTTCTGTTGAATTGCCTGGGGAATCTCACCAAGAGCGCCATGAGCGCTTGAAGACAACACAGCCGCTGTCTCAGATCCTGGATCACAAGCACATCAACCTCTTAACTCCAGCAGATACAACAATGGGACAGGCAGGTCAAGACCCGCCTATACTGCGCAGGTCGCGCACAAACCAGACCGTACCTGATACAGTGAGTTCTGACAAGGTTAGTGACCTTGCTGCAATTAACCTTTTCCAAGTACGGAATTCAGTGCTTATTGTAACTGCTCTCAGAATTGTGATCTACTAAGCGAATCCATCAGCGATCGGCTTACATGGAAAGCGCTTGATCCCCAGTAGTCGAATGCCGTATGTGTCCCGCCCACTCGGAAAATGCGTTACGGTTTGAAGACCCCACATTCGCTGGATGGTTCAATCTATAGATGCTGTGTAGGTCCTTTGGCGAGTGCTTCTGGGTCTTACCTTGCATACAATTTGAGTGTAGATCGAGCATTTGAGAAGTACTTTGAGGCTCTATTGATTTTAAGCAAACATATTTACAAGGCTACCAACAGCATGATGTACCAGTACCTCGTTGTGGTCAGTATGTCAGAGGCAAGGTACTCCCGGTCTCAACTAGCCCACCTGCTTTTCAAACATCGTATCCAGCTCTGAGCATAATCTGGTCTCCAAACGATAAACAAGACTGTTGGTCACCAATGGAAAAAGCCACGGGTTAGCGCAGCAATGGGCATGAGAAACCAATCCCGACTAAGCGAGAGGAAAAGCCATGCACCCTAAAGCAAACCTTCTAAAGCAGACTTAGGATACTGAGATTCCGTCACAAATTGCTGGAAAGCGTCGAATATCAGCTTCAGTATATTCGGTCTTGTGGGATATGTTACTTACCTAATTATCATATCGCTCCATGGGGGGAAGCTGTCAAGACAATGTTGCCGTTAACAAGTAGGAGTTGCGCAATAGGTAACCCCATTTTGTTGTGGTATGCAATCCGAGAGCGAATGAATAGTTCCTAAGTTGCTTCACATAACACGGCAGGAGGTGCCGTGCTGGACTGCCTTAGGCTTTTTTCCCATTTTTAAAGCCTTGTTTAGCCTAAGACGATTGCCTCCAACCATCCACATTGCGAAAGCACCGGGATCCGGGCCCTTCGGTCGTGGCTTTTTGGGACCTGAATGGCGTTACTGACGATTTTCAAAATGGGATGTGTTTTGTAAATAATCTTGTACTAGGAGAGAGACCTACCTGCTTGATCTGTTTTCTTCTTGGCTTCCTCACTGACAGTGACTGTAGTGTCATCTGCAACTGATGCAGCTTCGGGTGGAGGCGACGGTTCTGCGGCTACATCTGCTTGTGCAGCAGGCTCGGCGTCTTTGGGCTTTTCTGGGATGGGCCACATGTGCATTGTTATGGTCCAATCCGGTTCAATAACAGTCTCCCAAACTTGGGGCAGGATTATGTCGCCATTAGGGCCCACCAGATCGTAGTGTCCTTCAGCCACATGAGGACCTATTAGCTCAATATGAAGAAATGCCTGTCTTATTAGCTCTTCCATACCCTGAAATATGATTAGTAATTTGAACCGAACCTAGGCGGGGGGATCACTTACCTTCCAGGTACAGCATAAGTCAAAAGGGAAACTAAATTTCCTCCCTACTGCATCCTTAAACTTTATAGGCTTCTTTTTTTCCGGGGGAGGTGGATTCGCAGCGGCTTTCGCAGCTGCGAGAGCTTCTGCGGCCGCCGCGTTTGCTGCTTCCGTAGCCGCAGTGGCAGCTGCTTCTGCTGCCGCGGCTGCCGCATCTTCTGCTTCCTTTTTGGCTTTTGCGGCTTCTTCTGCGGCCTTTAGCTCAGCCTCCGCCCTTGCCTGTGATGCGGCGTCCTCCGCAATTTTCTTTTCGTGTGCAGCACGTGCATCTCTTGCAGCTTGCTCGGCGGCCTCCTGCTCGATGGCAGCTTGTTTGGCAGCTTCTCGAGCTTCTCGAGCTTCCCTTTCGGTCCTTTCCTCGAGTATCAGCTTCTCTAGCCTCGCGATTGCCTCGTCTTTCTCTGCATCAGCAGGTGAGACGCCAGGTGATTCAGAGGATTCAACTTGACTGGGAGACTGCGCGCGAGGATATGGATGGTAGTAAGGCGGCATCATCCCAGATACGACATGATAAGGATCTCTGAATGGGTAGTAAGGCCCGGGGCCGTAAGGTATCATCATATCATGAGGCCCGTAGGGAGGCGGACCATGCCCTGGCATATGGTGTGATAATGAGTGCTGAGAAGGATTGTGCCCCTCATTCCGGCCATGAGAGGCGGTTGTGATAGGGTGTGGTTGGTGTCCAGGATGACGGTCATGAGCTAGAAAAGGAGGCATAGAGGGACCAGGATGTTGCGAGCTGTACCCGTAGATCGAATGACCGTATGGAATTTGCTGACCTTGATGGCCAAGTCTTATGAGCTGGTCCGATGGAGCCGCAACACCATTCAGGTGCACGAATGAAGCATGTGGCATTGCATTCCCATTAGGATAGACGTATGATTGTCCCGGAGAGGAATGATGACTGTACCCTGTCCCCTGAGGCATAGATGGCCAAAATCTTCGCTCTTGAGGCATACGCCCGTATGGAGCGCCGTACTCTTCGGCTGAGTCGGCGCTCTCTGGGGAGTCCGGGGAAGGGTTACGACGAGCACGCCTGGCAAACGATTCCCGCTCCTGCGCCATGTGATGCCTTGCTGAGTGGCGGCGAATGGCAGACGAAGAGCCATGAGCTGTACTACGTGTACGTAGCCGGCGTGTGGTTCTGGGCCGTGAAGCGGAATCCGAAGGTTTCAATTCATCAGGATATGATAGGTGCGCCCATTCGTCGTAGGACTCTTGGTATCCATGGCTCTCCGACTCAGAAGGGGGGGAAACTTGTACCCCAGAAGAGTCTTCTTCGTCGGAGAGAGAAGATTCCGAGTCAGGGTCAATTCTAATATTGAGTCTAGTACCTGTCAGAACGCAAATGGCTAATCTTCGAAGTAGAGACGCACGTCATTGGATTGAATAGAAATTCAGGGCTCCGAATGTCTGCCCTCCTCTTACTGTTTCTATTGTGTATTGTCGTCCGAGCCTGATCTTTAAAGCAATTAAATCCAGACCAACCGAACTTAGAGATCAGAGGTCAGGGTTAACATGCCGGAATTGCTCAAAGTCGAGACAGGAAGCCGTTGCAAATCGAATTCGACCAAAGTCGGTCGGCGAAGACTGATTTCAAGACAGCAAGGACTAGTCGCCAACCGCCCTAGACAGTGAGAACGATAATCATTATCTCGAGGCGCTAGATGGAGGGTCAGGATTGTTCTGAGCAAAAAATATAACCTGCTCAGGTCCTGGGGCAGGATCGGGCAATAGCTGGCTCCGACGGAGGCACTGACAGAAGATTAGTCAAAGCGGAAAGAGAAGGAAGCATGTATAAGAATTTGATAGTGAAACAGATTCACATCAGCAAGTCAGCCGATACATTGAGTATGTCGGACAGCCAGGAGGCGGGGATCACTAGAAGATGGACAGGAAGGCGAGGGTGGGGGTGAACAGAAGAAAAAGAAGTGACAAGGGAGCTGGAACCTCGTCGGGGACTGACAGCGACGAAGAATGTGAAGTAACTACTGCCTGATCAAGACACTTTCAGGCCTTGCAGTGGAGAAGATTTGGGCATGGCAGGCATATCCCTAATCTCGAATTCGAGTCTTGTCGTCATTGGTGGTACTATCAGGCACTGAGCTGGCGACGATATTCCTTTACACACCGTAAATAACATAGTGTAGTGCTGCCCGAATGCCCAATCAAGAATCTAGTTCAATGCCAACGAGTTGTGCAAACGCAGCCCCTCCTTTCGCCTTACGCGCTTCCCCTACGCACCACATGATAGCTGTTTATCCATTTCTTGCTAGGACCAGCTAGTAGATAGCTTGCTTGGTTGCACGCAGCGCATGAATAAGAACTTCGGGAACCGCACTGTGGGCGCGCCCGGACCCGATCTCTGGTAGACGCTCGATCCGGCGCTCACTTTCTAGACTGGAGTGTTATGCAGGGAAGGAGGGCTTGAGGAGTCTTCTTCCTCATTGGTTTATTTTAAAAAGCCGTGCCTTTACGAGTGCCTAGACTCAGGTAACCCATTTACACTCCTGAGCTGAGAGCGAAACACATGTTGCGTAGAGATCGCTATCCTGATCTTCACTATAGCATCTTGGTTTTAATCCGTCATCTGTTCATTTACTGAGGCCGATCGGAGCGATCGAGAAGCTCCTTGACGGCTATAAGCTCGGCTTGATTGTGCTCCCACGAGGAATGATCTGACGAGCGTCGAGCCACAATACCCTCGAGTCGTCTCCTCGCATATGTATTGAGTGCTTCCAGCGTTCCGGTTGTCGTAAACTTGGCTGTCATTGTCGATTCCTCCGACATTTTCTCAAGCAGAAGTAACGTCGCCTGCGGTAACCCGTGTGAGAGGAAAGATACCCTAGAGGGAGAACTTGAAGCGTACGTACCATGAAGAGACCGTAGAGTCCTCTCAAGTAATCGCCACAGAGTTCAATACTTCGACAGAAATACTGGATTGATCTGCGTAGAAGATGGCAGGCATTCCCGGCATCAGACGAAGAGGAACAGGAATAGAAGACTTCCCCTAACCGGGAATGTACCTATAAAGCCAAGGCGTCAGCCTTCTGTCATCAAGACGAGTTGACGGTGATAATAATACATTCCAAGCGTTCGGCACAATCAACAAGGCCTCTTCGAGGCTGAAAATCGCCTGTGGACACATCCCCAAAGATTGATATATGTCTGCGAGTTCACACCATGCCTCCGCATCTGTCGGAACAGCATCCAGAAGTTTTATCAATCCTGTTATGGCTTCCACTGGTCTAGACAGGTAACGAAGAAGAGCAATTCGACGCTTCAAAATTGGCTATTATTTATATCAGCTTCGTGTAGTATCATGACAATATCGGTAGGAACAGACCAGATTGACTGGGTCGTCAGACAAAATGACTTCGTATTCATGTAGACACTTCACCAACTCCGGGCGACCTTCGGCAGTAGCTTCCTCATGTAATCCTCGTAATGCTGTCACCTTGTTATTCGAAGAACCAAAGCGGCTTGCTAGTATATCTATACACCGAAGAGCGGATCTATCATCCCCCGATTGTAAGCACGAAAAGGCTAGTTGCTCCAATATGTCGTAGTCCCCGGGATTTTCGCGGTTAGGAAACGGTACAATTGGAGTAGTGTCGCCTATTGAAAAGTAATTTTCAAGGATTCTGGGCGCTTGTTGTGAGAGACGAGAGATAGTGATGAGATTCGAACTATTATGCTCATATCGGAGGGTACTTTGCGCCATGATGTAGTTGTTGTTCTTGTTGTTGCCTGATTGATTAAATGAGGATGGTTTGAACTTGCGCCAGCATGGATTGCAGAGCACCTGAACAAATCGGCAGGAAGCAGAGGCTAAGTAGCAAGGAGAGGGAAATTATATATGCTAAGTACTCCCTTCGTACTAAGTTACGTATGCGGAAGGAGTAATTAAACTGCCCCCTCCCGATGAACTCCTGTTCCCGTGACCCAAGCAACACCAGCTCGACGCAATTGCCCATACTTCCCGTCTGGTATTCACATTGTAGGCTCCCAGTTATCAGTTCGTGATATTTACTCCAGGCTATCTTTCACAATTGAATATCTTCAATATAACACCCTATGGTATTCTAGAAGTTTACCAACTTGGCAGCACTCCGTATCAGGTGCTGCACAACACCTGAGGCATAATGTTGGTATCCTGACCGAAGTATTTAGTTCATACCAAAGGACTAACATCCCCGACATTAAGGTTCGAAAAGTCGCTATATGACCTGATAAAAGGCCTTAGGAGCCACAAAGGAGCCGAGGATGAATACATACAGGAGTCTCTTCGCGAATGCAAAGCCGAAATCAAGACGCAGGATATGGGTACGCAGAGCATGCATATTCTGCCGGATCCGACTTCTAATATGTCCCAGATAAGAAGGCCACGGCTCTTTTAAAACTCATATACCTGGAGATGTTCGGTTATGATATGTCTTGGGCATCATTTCATGTGCTTGAAGTCATGTCATCTGCTAAATACCTACAGAAAAGAGCTGGATATCTTGGGGCCGTGCAAAGTTTCAGACCCGATACCGAGGTTCTCATGCTAGCAACGAACCTCTTGAAGAAGGTATGCCTGCTTCCAAGACCAATTTAACATTGCCAGACCTAAGTTTGTCAAGGACCTAGTATCGACGAGCATTTCAAACATGTCCCTACCTCTAATCACATTGCCCAGCATTATCACGTCCTCCCTCGCCATGTCATTACTCCCAGACGTTCTGTCTCGAGTTTCGCACTCCCATGCTGTGGTTCGGAAAAAAGCTATAGTTTGTCTATATAGACTTACACTTGTCTACCCCGACGCTTTAAAACTAGCTTGGCCTAAGATTAGGGAACGCCTCATGGACGATGAAGAGGACTCTAGCGTCACCACAGCTGTCCTAAATGTGGTATGCGAACTAGGATGGCGCAGACCTCGTGATTTTTTATCTCTTGCGCCACGTTTGTTTGAACTACTCGTTGATGGTGGCAATAATTGGATGGCTATCAAAATAATAAAGCTTGTATGTTGTCTACATCATTTTATGGCCCTTTTCTTCTTTCAATCATTTCTTCCCTAACGATCCTAGTTCGCAACACTTACTCCACTAGAACCACGATTGGTTCGAAAGTTACTTCGACCATTAGTTAAAATCATTCAAACAACAACTGCTATGTCTCTACTCTATGAATGCATCAATGGCCTGATACAAGGCGGTATACTCGATAGCGACGAAGGTGCTCAAGAAAAAGACGAAATTGCTGATCTTTGTGTGGAAAAACTCCGAGGCATGGTCGTATCTGATTCGGACCCGAATCGTAGGTGCGTCTGCCCGAAAATATGCGATGGCAACTAATGTGGCATCACCAGTCAAATATGTGGCTCTCCTAGCATTCAACAGGATTGTTTCAGCGTATCCTGCATTGGTTTCCGTGCACCAAGGTGTGATTATGTGCTGCTTCGATGACGCAGACATTTCGATTCGACTCCAAGCCCTCGATCTTGCGACAAGGATGACCACTAGCGATAATCTTCAGGTGATAGTAGAGCGGTTAATCTCACAGCTGGCTCATTCCAATGAATCATACGGGAGTGAACGCATGAAGCCTGATGATGAGTTCTCTGAAGAAGTTGGCAGCGAGTTGAGAGGAGTTTTAGCCAGCCGCAAAGCGACAATACCTCTCCCAGCTGATTACGAGATTGAAGTGTTGCACCGAATAGTTGACATATGTTCACACGGGAATTATGCGAATTTGTCTGATTTCGAATGGTACGTCGGTGTGATGGTGCGGCTAGTGAAATATCTACCCCCAGACACCCAAAATATCGATCTCCTGACAAGTAGTCGGATGGGCAACGATATGGACTACCAGACAACTATTGCTAGTCGAATTGGTTCCGAGTTACGCAACGTGGCCGTTCGGGTCAAAGATGCCCGCACAGAAGCGACTAGGGCTGCAGATTTATTGCTCTCGCTTGAGAATAGAAAGTCCCTTTCCAGCACGGCTTCGTATGCAACCAATGGCATCCTTGGGCCGCTTGCGTGGGTGGTCGGTGAATATGCCGAGCACGTGCTTTACCCCGAAAAAACGCTTCTTTCCTTGATTGACATATCCAATCTCTCCTTGCCCGGGAAAACGCTATCTCTCTATGTGCAAGCCATTCCCAAATTGCTCAACACCTTACTGCCTCGCGAGAGAACATGGGACCGAACCAGAAGGAGCGAAGTGTCACTCATTCTGGTTCGAATTACCGAGTTTCTCGACTCTCTGAGTTCGCATCCTGACCTGGAGGTGCAAGAGCGAACTATTGAAATCCTAGAGGTCATGCGCTTAGCAGCAGACGCTTTGCAGTCTGACTCAAACAATTGGAACGAAGTACCATATCTTCTGTCTTCGGTCATTCCTAATCTATTCCAAGGACTCGAACTGAACCCCGTCTCTATGAACGCACAGAAAAAAGTCACGGCACCAGATCGGCTTCATTTGGCCCATGCATTCAATGGTAGCTTTGGTGATCTCTTTGATAACGATATCGATGTTATAACTGGAACGGAGTATGAAGTATTATGCAACGATTTCTACCATTCCAAGGAAGGCTTATCATCAACTAAGCATCATGGTGACTTCATTGTGACAGACGCAGCTTATGGGACACCGTATCAGGCACCATTGGGACTCATGGTAGAGGAGGCGTCCACCCTCGCGAGAAGATTGGACAGGAAGGAACGAAGTAGGGACGATCCTTTTTACATTGGAACAGATGACGGCTACTCCGATATCTTGAGCCCACATCATCCTTCCTTCAACGTTCATAATGATAGCGAACTCGATATTGACGCTATCCCAATCATCGATCTCAAATTGAACGCTGGAAGACACCAGCGACCCTCCAAGAGTCAGAGTGCTAATCGGATCAAACTAGAATCACGTCTCAAGCGTTACGAAGTTCTATCCGACGAGATTCTAGGAAATGAGGAAACCGGGACAGCCAACGTAATGGGTGAAGTCAATAGATGGAAACGGTCTTTGCTTCAGGTTGATTCTAGTGGGCTGGAACACCTTCAACTTGGCGATGAGAAGCCTTCATCTCGCAGTCAAGCAAGCATGCGAGAAGTCGAAGATGATGCGGAAATGGCAATGGCCATGCAAGAAGTGGAACAGTTCCGTCTGAGATTGCAGAGAGCCACAGAGCGAGTGCATCCTGCAGGTATTTCTTCAGAGGGAACATTGGTCAAGAAGAAGAAGAAGAAAATCAAATCTGTGGTCGGTAATATGCAGGGATCTCCTCAGCCTCGTGATGATATCAGTTCAACCAAGGGCATCAGCAATAACCTACAGCGGCAGCAGCAGAAGAAGAAGAAACGAGCAAAAATGTGATTGGTGATCTGTACTCAAGCAGTCGCGTTTTTGGCAGGTATTGCCTTCCCCAGCGGTGTCGTTGATGGCTAGGATCAATGAAGATCTGACCTCTTTTGCTGTACAGTGTAGCAGAACAATGGTTACATAACAGCAAAGACGACAAGTAACGCGCAAGGCAAGAAGTTGAAGGTCCGAGGCCTTGATGTGATCATTATGGAATTTGCCACCTATCTGGTGTGGGGAATAATAATGTGCGATAGTTAATGGGACATAGCAGGCTGCGTCTATGCCTACTGCAACAATAGATTGAAGTTTGAAACAAGCGCAGACCATAACCTGGGCACAACCCCAAGCAGCTCGAGAAAAATTCCACCGCAGACAACGAATGCAAGGATGACTATCAATTTCTTAGTCCCCCAAATGGTGAATTGGCATGGCGGCAAGTGAGAACATACCGATCCAACCTGTAGATACTGGAGACCGCGTGTGCTGCTTTGGCTTCGGTATCGCTCCTCCTTTGCCACGCTTTGCGGCTTCATGCTTTGCATACCTCTCGTTAGCCTTTCTCTGCTGTGGTGTTTGAGCCTATAACTTGGGATTAGTATTCATGAAAGTTGCATGCCGATTGAGTCATTGATCTATAGCATACCATGATGCCACCGTATACAACTCAGCCTTCAAGTACGGGCCAGTTTAGATATTGACGTCCCGATAGTAGGTGGAAGTATCTCGAAATAGTGGTAGCTTGGTATGTGTATATTGAAGGAGAGATTTTTGTGCAAGGTAAGGAAGCGAACAGGTGAGCGACAACCTTGTATACAGAAAAGGCCACGTTGTGCCAAGTATGCGAAATACGGAAAAGGTACGGAGTACTGACACTGTACACAGTCGGTTCCAATGGTTATTGGTAAGAAGCTACTAAGGCGTCGCTAGGTACCATAACTACAATCTGATCAGCTTATCGTACACACGCACCCTTACTCCAATATTATTCCTGCTACCGCCTACCTGATGCAGAACTTGAAAGTACAGACGAGGATCACCGATTGCCCTTAACATGAAGGCGGTCACAACACGGACAGGACCCAATCCAGGTCACCAAATTGGCAGTACGGTACGGAGTAACTTACGGAGTACTCCTCAGGTAACCTACTCCGTTCCCACCTATGTATGGGCCACGGCATGTGCGTGACATCGGAGCATGATTAAACGAGTAGGCGGTCGAATTTTCTACCAATTTTGCCTCATGTCCACCAGTTTCAGATTTCTCCTCCACATAATGCGCCGGGTGTAACATTTTTCATTTATCCTTATGACCATCGCATGAAGTCATTCCTCACAGCAGAATTTTCAGTTTCTTCCAACTGCAAATCCATGTGGTGCAGATAACGCATAGCACAATACGTCCCGGACAAATATTGCAAGCAGAGGAGGATCCCATTCGGCTGAAAAACGGTCTTGATCTAGCAAATGGGTCTTGCCGCACCCCGAAAGTAGGTAGGCTCGAATTTTTTTGCCCTGATTATTCTAATCATGGCTGCCTAGGAAATCTAAGATCTCGCATGATCCCAATAATACGAATTGGTCCCGCTCAACGACTGGCTTCGGGCACAAGATTCTCAGTTCTCAGGGATGGACACCGGGTGGCTTCCTAGGTGCACGAAACGCTGCACATGCTGATTTATTCACCACCGCAAGTGCATCTCATATTCGGGTCGTCGTCAAAGATGATACACTTGGCCTTGGTGCACGACCGAAACGGGACGCATTAGATGAGCCCACTGGACTTGACGCTTTCAGAGGGTTGCTGGGACGCTTGAATGGCAAGTCAGATGCAGAGCTAGGGATCGAGGAGAGGAAGCGGGAGAATGCGAAGTTGGCTAGATACGCGGCCAGCAGATGGCAAGCGGTCAATTTTATAAGTGGTGGATATCTGGTTCAGGAAAAGACCGATGTCCCTGCTTCGGAGCAGCCAACCCAAACCCAGTCAGACACGGAGAAGCTCAACCCTAACAAGGGTACTTTAGAGGCTCAGATACGCCCGAAAACGACTGAACCTTTAGATTTTGAGGCCTTATCAATCGATCGTCAAGGTCAACACGAGGGCAGTCCAAAGCAAAAGTCGGAAATCCAGGCCTCTCGTAAGAAGAAGTCCAAGAAACGAAAGAAGGATGAAAAGCAAGAAGAGGAAGACATGGAACATAAAAAGAAAGAGCTGAGGGATACGAAAGACAAGTCCTATTCCGGTTCATCGGAGGAAGTTGATACACCAAAAGTCAACCCTATGTCGTCAAGGGAACGCCGTCCGATGGGTAGGCATATCTTCAGAAGTCGACATATTGCACAGAAAAAGAGAGCCCTTCTCGATGAAAAATCTTTGAATGAGGTAAGAAGTTAGCTCTCTGATGTGGTCATCTGTGCTAACTCAAGAACACTTAGATATTCATGGTCAAATCTTAAGTGCAATGACCTTGCCGCCTCTCGCTTCATGCAGTGGCTAGCTTAAACTGCTTTTGACCTTCACTCAATACCCTAGATGCTGGACCGGACAAACTTTTTTTTGGCAACCATCTCATACCCATGTGCTTGGCGTAACATTTCATGGTCATATCTTTGGCCAGTTAGTCCCGTACCAATGAGCCTTCAAATTCACTGCCTGTTGCCAGCATTATAGATATAGCAACTCTATTAGTCAGCGAATGTAGCTAGAATAATAGTATGTATGCACTTTCATTTGTAGAGGTATATGTTATGCAGGCCGGCCGTCAGAAAAGGTACCTTGGTTATCAGCTAGTAGGTATTGCATGGACTCCAGCCGTGATCATTCCAATAAAGAAACCTCTCGTTCAGGTAAAAGGTATTGACTTTGACTATATGTGTTCGTCAAGAGTAACTCCTATCACTTTCTGCCACTTTTTCTGGAAAGAAATAAAAACAGGTTGTGCCTTACGACCAATGGTGGTGAACTGAGACTGCTGTTTACATATACGCATACAGTATAGTCCTGCACACGGATACCTCGGTCCAGCCGCAGCGGCTGAATGTTACATCATCTTCACGTTTCGTTAGCCGTCGCCGTCATGACTTCTGTTCTCCATACCTAACCTGCTATCTATGCTTTAGGAAACATTTGTTCGGAACTTTTGAGCACCCAGACTTGATCTTCGATTTGCGTTCTTATCTTAGCATATCCTACTTGCATAAACTAACGTTAATCGGTGCAATTAAGCCATCAATGTCTGATTGTGGAGGCAGCGCCACTGCGGAAAATGCGAACAACGATCCAACACTGAAGAAACCAGTATCTTCGAAGCGGCTACCAATCGACAATAAACATGACGACTCTCCAAGCGACAGGATTAGCTCTCGCTGTACACGAAGTCCTCAGAAAAACCGACATGGGAGAAGGTATGTAGACATCTGCATTGTTTGTCTTGTTATTTGCGTCTATAGAATGCCATTGACCGTGGAGACTAGAATTCGCTGGGCACCACTAAATATCGGTCTCGAACGACGCCTACAGACATTTGTGGTTCTTTGCCATACATTAACAATTGCTATCTTCTTGACCATCTTTTTCTTCTCATGCGCCATCCCACTTTTATGGCCCGTCCTAATACCGTATTTAATCTACATTTCTCTCTTTTCGACAACTGCTACCTCGGGGAGCCTGGGCGGTCGCTGTAATCTCCTGCGCTCCCTTCGCATCTGGAAAATATATGCATCCTACTTCCCAGCCCGCTTACACCGATCCGAACACCTCCCACCGACAAGGAAATATATCTTTGGGTATCATCCGCATGGCATCATATCACATGGTGCTTTTGCAGCGTTTGCTACCGAGGCTCTTGGGTTTTCCGAGCTCTTTCCCGGAATCACAAACACCCTTTTAACGCTTGACTCGAATTTCCGGATTCCATTTTACAGAGAGTACGCCCTTGCTATGGGAATAGCCAGCGTGTCCCGCGAATCCTGTGAGAATATCCTTACTCAAGGGGGCATTGATGGAGAAGGAATGGGACGTGCGATCACTATTGTCATTGGTGGCGCCCGTGAATCGCTTGATGCTTTACCCCAGACCTTACGCCTTGTTCTTAAGCGCAGAAAGGGATTTATCAAGTTAGCTATACGCACAGGTGCTGATCTTGTGCCTGTATTAGCATTTGGCGAGAATGATCTTTATGAACAAATACGCTCCGAAGACCACCCAGTCATCCACAAGTTTCAGATGCTTGTTAAACGTGTGATGGGCTTTACAATTCCTCTATTTCATGCGCGTGGTATCTTCAACTATGATGTTGGGTTGATGCCCTACCGTCGACCACTCAATATCGTGGTGGGTCGCCCTATCAGGGTAACTCAGCAAAGAGACAGAGAAAAGTTAGACGATAACTATATCGATCTACTTCACACGATGTATGTGCAAGAACTAGAGAGACTATGGGCGCAGTGGAAAGACCTCTATGCTAAAGACAGATTGTCCGAGATGGAAATCATTGCATGAGGAGCATAAGAAATCGTGATTAACGTCTTCCGAGGGGCCGGGACAGTGGGAATATCATCCAAGATTTGACTGTAGCTCCGGGCTGCGATAATCTCAGTTTCAAGTATTCTGACCCGGAGGTGAGCACTATGTGATTATAAATAAGAGCCACTGAAGCTGAGAGAGCTTGCGTGAACTCCCGAATAATACCGTCTAAGAAACCAAGCTTGCTCACGTAACGATCAAAACTTGCCACCTCATTCCGTGCTCATATCGCCAAATCCATATTGACCAGACTTCTCTGACAGATAGTTTAACCGAATGAAGTAAGCATGCACCAATTGCTTAATAGCTGCGGAATAGGGACCGAGGGTGGGTATCAGATATCAAAGGAAGAGTGGGAGAACAATTGGGCACAAAGCACGTGCAACATAATCGAGCTGTGAGAATCTGCGCTCGAAAAATTGTAGTACGGAGCTTATATGATAGGCCGTCTTCATGGCTGAGCAAGGAAGGGGATTGTCGTCTCGAGGGTCCAGCAGTCTGGTACGTGCAAGGGATAGTTTCCAAGGCGAACATGGGCATGGCTGGTATCGGGGCCTGACAAATTCACTGTGATGCTCCGGTCTGATTTTTTGAATTCACAAGTGCAATTCGTCCTGCCAGATGGCAGGTAACTTGCCTGAACATCAAGTGCTAATCTCAATCCTCGCAAAGCAATCTTAACAACCTAGTCAACTCCTAAGGTCATTCAAACAGCTTCGCTCCTGCAACGGCGCGTGACCCCAATCCGTTCTCCGTGATTGATAGCTTGTTCAAATAAGGGGGAAACTGCTCGTGGAAGGGAACAGAAATTCCTAAACTGATAATACTCTAGAATTGATGGTGCAAAGTGTCAGGTCGGAGTGTTCTGGTCGGGGTCCAGTTGATCGGCATTACTCGTAATCAAATTTGCTACGCCGGGCACCGACTCGGATGCGCGACGACTGTCAGCAACGACGCGAACACTTCCACGGGAGCCTTTGACTAAGTGGCCACTCTCAACATGATCTTGAATCATCTCATCAAGGATGCGGGATACTTCGTCCATGCTTTGCCGTTTCCCTTCCGATATCTCCTCAGACCGTGGGGAGAAGTCTGCAGTGTAGGGTAAGGCATAGTCGCTGTCCAAGAGACTGTGCCGATGGGCTGAAGTTTCTTTAATCTCGGGCCCTGAAACATCCGTAGCAATGTGCGCCAGATCCCGATGCCGAGCAGCAGATCGAAGGGCTGTAAGCATCCGGTCTTTATCATCCAGCTGTTGACGAAGCTCATTGATTTCCATGTCCCTTTCATGCAATAAAGCCATTGCATCAGGCATCTCAGTATATGTGCCGCTTGCCTTTACGCCGATGGACAAGCGGGAATGACTCGAGCGGCGGGCTTGTAGCAGCCGCCTCTCTAATGTAGATATATATCGATTTTTGTCATTGAGGTCAGCTTGAAGGGCTGCAATCTGTTGTTGAGCACTGGCCTTGCCATCTGCAAACTCTCCTATACTCTCTTCCTCCTCTTCATGACGCACAGAATCACTGGTGAAATGTGCGCTGGCCGCAGGGTCACAACTGTTCACCGAAACGAAGGACATGGGGCGGATTGGAATATGCCCGTAAGCGCTCAATGTAGACTGACTGACTGAAGATCGAAGAGACCTCGTCCCGGCATCGAAAGCGGATTGTCTGGAAAGTCTACCAAGGGAGATATAACCCCCGTGGCTATTTACTCCAGTCGATTTCGAGCATAATATAAGTCGATTTAGATGCTCTATCCGTTCCTTTAATGCCGTCCGGGCCAGTTGTATCTCCAGCATTTGCTCTTCGTGACGGGCCTGCGCTTCCTTTTCCAGCTGCTGTTCTTCGAGTTTGAGCTCTTTCTCAACCTGAGCTTTGGTCTGGCACTCGAGCTGATTACGGAGAGCCTGGATTTCCATCCGATAGCGTTCTAAAAGAACCCGACTCCCTGCATCAGTGCTACTGCTCCCTATTGCCTCCTCTGCTCTCTTGGCATGACTGACGATGCTGTTCTTGGCTCGAGCTGCGAATTTCAAAGTGTTGAGAGTTTCACCAGTATGTGTCTTGTTTGCACTGCCTAATTGAATCGTGCAGAGAATGCTTACAAGAGAGTTCCCTGACAATGCTGGCTGCAGCAACCTAGTGAGCTTGCTATCACGGTAAGGTAGATGTTTGCCTTCTTTGTCTGTTGCGCCACCAGCTTTGTCTCTTGATTCTGAAAGTTTGGAGATGATCGTGCCTAATGTCAATAAGCTCTTGTTGATGTGAGCCCCTTCTGCACGACGTTCTTTGTCATCAGCAGCCCGCTCAGATCCAGCGAGGTCAATGAGGCTTAGTGTGGACACCCTCACACCTCCGGGCAGCAAACCCGACCGCCGATCCTGCGATGCTCCTGCAGGTGCTCGTTCCCGGCTTTCAACAACGATCTGCACAACCGCATGACTTCGTGAACTCCGAGCATTGAATTGTGTGCTGCCAGTCCTCCTCGCATGGTCCCCTCTGGCTATGACACGAAGAAGTTGCGTCGGGCTCTGGACAATTTCTTCTTTCAAGGGAGTCGCATATATGCCTCTCTTGCTATCCTCGCGCAGCTTAATTTCTTCCTGCTGGGTAGTGGACGGCGCACCGGAAACCGATGCCGAAAGCAAGTCATTTATTCTCTCATTGTATATCTCGAGGTAGCTCACCCGCAACAGAAACTCCCGGTGCGGCGTCTCTCTGATGAAAGAGAAGATATCTGTTATCGCTAATGGGATTACCCCTGGGGAGGTGGCTGTTCCTTGCATCGAAAAGGTTTTGCCTGTTCCAGTCATGCCATAAGCGAACACTGTGCCGTGATAGCCTTCCATTACCCTACGCACTAGACGTTTGGCAGCGGCATCGTAAACCTTTGCATTATCTTCACTTGTCGAGAACACATTATCTGAAATGAAAGTCAGCACAAGAACCCTTTTGAGTTGTTCAGAATATGTACCATATAGATAGTCACCGCCTTCTTTTCCATGATAAGAGATGACTGCCCGCCCTCCATCTAGCGTCCATTCAGAGGTCTTTGTGGCTTCACTACCTGCAATCTCGGGTCGTACTCGGACGCTCACGATCACGTTGCCTTTTGTTGTGTCCTTGCTCTCCTTTGATTTAAATGTAGATTTGGAAAGGCCACTTGTTTCATCACCGTCCTCATATGTGGTTGCGCTAGTAGAGTACGACCCTTGCGCAGAAGAGCTTCTGCTTTGTGGAGGGGAAGCATCCGGGTCCCGGATCTCGTAACTAAGAGCTGACTTCAAGTCCCCGTTTGCGTGTATGAGAGACGTTGCTTTGGAGGCTCGGAAGCTACTGGTTGTGCTTGTGCTCAGTCTGGAGCTTTTCCTTTCTCTCAAGCTTCCAGAAGAACGTAGTCCTTTTATTCCTGAGATTGAAGATGCGGTCGAAGGGCGACTTCCAGCCTTGGGTGGTTGAGGAAAGGCTGCGATGCTGACCGTTCTTCGCAATGATGCGTCCGGACTACTGGGAACTCTGGTGCTGATAACTGAACTCGACGGACCAACACGTGTTGTTGAAGTAGAAAGACCGTTTCTGCTAGCGACAGACATTGGACTAGACGGCGCGCGCATGCCTGAGGAAGCCTGGAATGAGGGTGGAGCCCTAGTTGAATGCGGTAAAATAGTGAGGGTTTTCCGCGATCTCGGCGCAGAAAGTTGAGGAGCCGGAGAGCTGGCAGTAGGCCGGTTGCTTTGAGGTAATGCAGACATAGGTTCGTTTGGCAAAGCCGATCGGTGATCGGCATCAATCAAGCAGGACCCGGCGGATCGGTCAAGTTTGTTCTTCGAGCACAATTCGAACAACAACAATATGCAATAAAGATCACTTGTGAACGTTCACCCACGTTACAAAGACCTCTGAAGCTCAGACCGATGCTTTGCGAAAGCAGTGCCTGAAGAACAAGGCTTAATTAGAATGAGCTGGAGGCATAAGGGGGTGATGACATTCGCTGTTGAACGTTGGGCAGGAGAATGGAGATAAGGCAGCGTATTCGAGGACTTCAAAGAATACATCTAGTCCAAGATTGCACATGAAGAAGCCCAAGATATTGTTGAAAATCTTATCACTGCTCAAGATAGGCATTGTTTAATCGCAATCATGTAAACTTACATGGGACCGTGAGTGGGTTGCAGTTGTGAATTTCCTGGGCGAAGCTCAAAACACCTTTGCGCGCTCCGCAACTTAGCGGTTATGAACAGTGCCAGGAACTAAATTACCACCATGAGACCTTGAAAATTGGGATAATTTGAGACAAATCTGATGACTGCTTTTGTGTATAGTGAACATGTAACAGTCGGTAAGGTGTCATGGGACAGTCAACGTAAGGCAAGAGAAGCATGAATTTGCAGATAAGGGGCAGAGGAACGGGAAATAGTAGTGTGGACGGAGAAGAAAGGTTCAGATGTAGATCAGTCGGGATGTTTAATGAGCTCGAGTGCCAACTTGGGCCGTGCGGGGGAAGAGAGGAGGAAGAAACTTACACAGTATGTATTGTATGTATGTATGTAGGTATGTATGTATGTGTGCAATTGCCCATTTGTGTCACTAGTTACCTTCGTGGCAGTCTCAGCTTAGACTCTTGGTAGTTTATTTAGTACTAGTTGTAACCAATGGTAATTATACTAACGGTGAATACTCCCAGACGCGAGGCCAGGCGTTGAGTAGAAGGGATTGGACAGAAAGGAGAGTCCGTTGACTCAATGGCCACGGGTGACGCGAACCTTGAGGCTTTTCCTAAACTCCTTTTGCTCGTACGAGTACTAGCCTACTAGATACTTAGGCAGTTAAATCAAAAACTTCTCCTTGGTTAATTACTGAGCCTGTAGTGGTGGGTCAACATTTCAGAGCATCTGCCTTGCGAGCAGAAGCTGAATTACTTGTCTAGGGAAGGAAGTACACGGCTCAAAGTGTACGCCGGCGCGGCGCCGGGCGGGCGCCCAGGCACTGAGGCTAGCCAGTCATACCTGGACCATAGTCGAGGTACCGTGAACTATTGTGCACGGTGCGGGACGGGTACCTGGAGTCAACTTGATCAAAGCCAAACTCAACTCTGAGTAGTGGGTACTAGGTAGATACGATACACATGAAACTCAGTGGCGGACTGTTTTGGGGAGCATTCTCCTCCTTGCATCACAATTTCCTGCAGATGCCAACAGGACTGTACAAATCTGGATAATCATGGAGAAATCACTTTATTATGTCTCTTGGATCAAGAAAGCAAACTTGGTCCTGATCACTGTATGCGCTTATGGACCAGCAACATACTCATGCTAAGAAGTCACTCTTAAGTTACAGTTAGATTCCGAAACTCTGTCGCTCGACATATACACTGACTCGCTAACAGCCGAAGATGTACTAAGAAGATGCATAAAAATCACCCCTTGCAGAGAATACTGCTAGACTGGGCATATACCGTACAAGAAATGACCAAGGTTCCTTGCACCGGAAAAACTAGACCGAATGAAGAAGACGAATGTAATAAAAAGACTTCACAAGTATTGAAGTTCGATCTTCGTGACAATGCAAGGCACTGGTGGCATTGCTCTTCATATCGGCATAGGTCAAGCTAACATAGCGGCATACACACTAGAGCTTTGTATAGAGTGTTCGACTCTGCAAACAGAGGGATTGCATGTTCTGGCTGAGATCATGGGCAGGTTCATGCCACCGAGCAATTGGCTCTGAAAACACGTCATATCATCTCAATGGACTTGTGCTATGGGCCCATTCACATAAATCATTAGCGTCGCGATGAGAACGATGTCAAATTCTGTTTCTGCGGTTCATCCCCTTTCAAGGGCAGGTAGCTATTGTAATCGAACAGCTGAGGATATGAAAATAATGGTATCGTGCGATGCAGCTAATGAACCCACTGGAGCTTTGCTTGCAAGAGGTTTCAAATCATCGAGTCTGTGCTTGGGATTATAGAGCTAGCCTCGGGCCCCGCTGAAATTCAGCTGTCGAGCCGCATTTTTGAATGTTGTATCGTCAACCTCTCCCCCTCGCCGAGTCAGATCGTGACCCATTTTCTCAATGCCATCCGGCTTGCGAGGAAGGTTTTTCTTGTCGGTCGGCTTTGGTTCGGTGGACCACCAGCCGTGCTGTAAGACTCTGCAAGCCGTGCTTCGTTTCTTAGGATCCAATGTGCACATGGACATTAGCAGATCTGCACCAACAGGACCAGCTGTCGGAAATTGCCTAAGGAAAAAATCTCGACCTTGAAGGGGAACAACATGGCTGGAATCAGTGGGAAGATAATTGGGCAGCTTGGTAACACCTGGCCAGTTATCCTCGGTTGGGGTCCCGAAAGCCTCACATATTTTAGCAATCTGATCTAGATCCGTATTTCCCGCGACGAACGGAACTCGCAATAAGAGTTCCGCGAAGACCATGCCCATGGACCATATGTCGACAACACCTGAGTATTGCCGGGCACCAAAGAGCAGCTCTGGAGGACGATACCAACGCGTGATCACCTGGTGGGTCATATTCAGGTAGGGATCAGCAAACGACCTAGCTAACCCAAAGTCCGCAAGCTTCACTTCTCCATCTGCCGCGATAAGAAGGTTGTTAGGCTTGATATCCCGATGCAAGATGAAGTTTTCGTGACAAAACCAGACCCCTCTAGCGAGCATCCCCATCCATGCCTTAACATCAGCAGCACCGTAGTGTATGTTGGTATCCTTGATCAGCATCTCGAGATCGCCTCGGGGTAGATATTCGAGTACTAAATTGAGATTCTGATCCTTTGATGAAAACACATCGTGAAGTGCTATTATGTTGGGATGTGAGAGCTCTTGCAAATATTTTACTTCTCGAATAGCGTCCATAGAAAGTCCATCTTTGTACTCTGCATTGACCTTTATCTTCTTGATAGCGACGAATGAGGCCGGTTTCGTTCGGAGGTGGCCAAGGAAAACAACAGCATAGGTACCTTCGCCAAGCCTTTTATCTAGAATAAAGTCATTAATGTGTTATTTGCCGCACAAAATCAAAACAAGACACTATTCCCGAGGAATATTCGGTTGAGGAGAGCAAAGGACTATTCGAAATACCAGAGAACCAAAACATACCTTTGATATACTTAAGTCTTACATCATCGTTCAACTGTTCAGTGATCTCACGCTCATTGTTAGAATGAGATGGAGGGAATTGGTTCTGTTGGTAAGATGAGTTTTCAGAGCTATTGGCATCCGGCTTTATTGTTGTACTGGTGACTTTTGCTTCATACGAAGCAGGATACAGGACTGAAGGAGAGACAGCCATCGTTGCTAGAATAGCGGCTGTTGGTTGTTCTTGGGGAGGTTCAGTAGAGTCGCGCCCAATTTTCTAAATGCTGTATGAAACTGCTCAAATAGATCAAAGTAGCATGTTAGAGGGCTTTAAGAGGGCAGTGAATTCAGTATATCGAGCCGTATCTTCATGACAGCGAGGGCGAGGCAGCTCAAGGCTTCCCGAGTATGGCTGTTTCGGACTTATGTTGATCCTGGCTAGAACATCGCTGCGCCAAAATTTCTCAACGATATTCCGACCCGAAGAATGACAGAACTAACTGCCAAGCAGGTCTTGAAAGAGAACTAAGGGACCTCAGCCAAGATATCCGCTTCTATCTTCCGATCATAATTTCGAGTTTCTGCATACCATTAGCACCTTGAAGTTCTCAATCTAGTTCAACTTTCACAAGGCTGAGGAATCAGCCCACCTCTGATGGCGATGCACAATCCATATATCTTTACCTTGCGAGCGATGCGACCTGTTACATTCGGAAAACAGTGTTTCAGGCACCTTCACAAGCAGGTGCCTGCTGCTGCAATACCATCGCCAACGCCATTTGTCCCAGATGTTCAGACTTTCCTTACACTAATCGGCCGTGGCATGAACAAGCATGCGAGCAAGCTGCCATCTTGGGACAAGTTGTTCTCCATTAGTTCGTCAGAGCTTAAAGAGCTGGGGATCGAGCCTGCAAGCCAGCGAAGATATCTACTACGCAAGAGGGAGAAATTCAGACAAGGAATCTATGGACCTGGTGGTGACCTGCAGCACGTCATCAATGGTGTCGCACAACTGCGGATTGTTGAAATTCCGAAGGAGCCTACGGACGTTGCGAAATCCAACAAATCCGAATATCACCCAGATTACTCGGCAAATTCATCCCCAGGCATGAGGAAGGTCATAGTCAATCTGCCACCAGATGCTAAAGAATTTATCCACAATCCATCGCAGCCACCGAAGATAATCGCGCACATGAAAGTCTACCACGGCAACACTATAAGAGGACCTTTCCTGCAGCCAATCAAGGGCACCAAGGGCAGTGCAGCTCTTTTCGAGCTGAAGGAGGGCATGTGGGAGGATCGGCTTGGAGTCAAGGTTGATGGTGGTGAAAGAAGACGTGCGGAGGTCAGAGCAAGACGCAGGAGCGAAGAACGGCGGAAGGGTGCTAATTAACAGTACAGAAGGTCTTGATCAAGCTGAGGCTAGCTTGTAGCATGCCTGCTTCCTCTGTTCTAACTACAATTTGTGTCAGTTTTACTGCATGTACCATAGGCATTTATTCACTACAGGTTCACTTGTATGTTTGCGTATTGCTCTCTCGCTATCGTTACGACAGGAGGAATTAATTGCAGGGCTCTTTTGACGAGCACGTTGCTTCGTCATTCTTTATCAGGCTCAGCAAGGAGTCTTAGACCTGCTAGCTGCTTTCACGTAGATTTGTAGCGCGGCTTTTACTTGATCTCAATCTATCGTCTTCGATTGACAGGCTAAGAAGAAGAAGAAGAAGAAGAAGAAGAAGAAGAAGAAGAAGAAGAAGAAGAAGAAGAAGAAGAAGAAGAAGAAGAAGAAGAAGAAGAAGAAGAA